TTTAATGTGATCTAACTTAGATCACATTAATATTGGCAAATATATTTTTCCTTTCTTTAAGTTATCTGTTTAGTATAAAACAAGGGATGTTTGTATTCAGAAACCTGTCCAAGACTTTTGACAGAAGGGGAGTTCAGAGAGGCCAATAAATCTAACATGATTTTTTTTTTTACTGTGTGGGGGAAGCCGGAGCACCCGGAGTGAACCCACGCATACACGGTAAGACATTTCCCCCCGTGCAGCCCTTGCTTTTTCTATTGAATAAGAAAAATAAATCAGATTTATCTGAACTGAACTCTCCTTGTTAATCTAATCTGTCAGAGACCAGACTGGAGGTCTATCTAGTCTGGATTTTCCTTTTGTCAGCTTTGTGTTGGCGCTTATGTGATGGAGTAAGATATTTTTTTACATGCCTCCAGAGTGAAACCTTTTTGACTGCTTCCTCTAATTCTTCAGAACTACTGTCCTGCCATGGCAACTCTTTTTCTGCCTGTGTTTCTAATCCCTGAGGTGGTTCGGGGATGACATCTTCCACTACTTCAATCCTCATCTCTGGAAGTGATTTTGCTTTTTGAATCTGCTCCTCCTTTTGACAGCTCTTATTTTCATCAGAAGCTGCCTGCTCCGTATCATTTTCTGTTTCTGAAACTGTGCATAATTTTGTCTCGTTAGGCTCGAAAGCTGTCTCAGAGGACTCTGTTTCTGTTGCTGCCAGAGTGTTCTGTGTCAGAGTCTCACCCTGCTGGTCGTCATTTTCTTGTGTTTCAGAGATCTTTTCATCTTCGGGGATCGTTGGTGGTAGAAACACAACAGCTTCCGTTGTATGACTCTCATTTGTTGAGAAATCTGTCTGGACCTCAACTATTTGCAGTGTTGAAACTTGTTGCTGTTCAACATTTTCCTCAGCGGCCTTTTGATAATTGTTGGTTTTTGGGTTGGAGGAGCTTTGTGGGATGATGTCCTTTTCATAGCTCTCATTTTCATCAGAAGCTGCCTGCTCCGTATCATTTTCTGTTTCTGAAACTGTGCATAATTTTGTCTCGTTAGGCTCGAAAGCTGTCTCAGAGGACTCTGTTTCTGTTGCTGCCAGAGAGTTCTGTGTCAGAGTCTCACCCTGTTGGTCGTCATTTCCTTGTGTTTCAGAGATTTTTTCGTCTTCGGGGATCGTCGGTGGTAGAAACATCACAGCTTCATTTGTATGACTCTCATTTGTTGNCTTGCAGCTATATTTGCTGTGATCAGTGGGAATAAAGTAGTTTTAATATGTTTTTAAGTGAGAAAATCCACCTGAAAACTTAATCATTGCAGTCAGTTCATCCAGATTTTCATCCTGCCTTCTAATACTATTTCTGTCGGAGCCGCTCAGACTCCCACATACCAGCGGTGCGCCGACAGTAGGAATCCCTTCAACAGCAGCCTCTGGCCGGGTCACCTCCTCGCGGTTCACCGCGCCGGCTGGTAGGTGTTTTTCATCTAAATAAGCTAAACTGCAGGCAGCAGGATAATAAAAGCGAACATATTCTGTCGGCAGGTTTCAGGATTTTAAGTTCATTTATGCGTCAATAAACTGTTTCAGAGGAGTGATCACAGCGCTCTGTATCATCAGAGCGCTGTCTGTCTCATGGCCAGCTCCAAGGTTTGATTAATACTTTGTAATAAATAAATGAATAAAGCACAGTCATACTCAGTTTTGCTCCCGCTCTATTTTTAAATACGCAGTAGAGGTATTTAAACGTAGTAGAGGACATGTACCTGTATATAAAACCCGCGCCCTATAGTCTGGTGCGCCCTATGTGATTTTTAAATACAGAAACAGCACACATAACTTAGACTGCGCCTTTTAGTACGGTGCGCCTTATGGTCGTGAAAATACGGTACAATTCATAAAGTGGCATCTGGCTGTTTTTTTTTTTTAAAGGTTACTTTATACTTTTATACTTTAAGTAGTTTTTGGAGCAAAAACTTTTTCACTTTTACTTGAGTAAAGAGGTCCAGTTGATACTTCAACTTTTACCAGAGTGTTTTTAAGCTGCAGTATCTATACTTCTACTTAAGTAACAAATGTGTGTACTTTTGACACCACTGATGTCTTACCCAACAGTGAATGGGACTAAAACCTTAAATAATTTAATTCAATTCAATTTATTTATATTGCAGCAATTCAAAAATGTAATCGCGAGGCACTTTATAGAGACAATACAGTTAGATTTGTTAAATATTTCTGTCAAGTTGATTCATTAACTTGCATCCTCCTGGATGAGCTCATACAAATGTAAGCTGGGTAAGTTACATAAATGCATTTAGAGAATAAAAATCAGACATGAACCTTAAGGTAAACATTCTCCAATAAGCTTATTGTTGTTTTCTTTTATACAGTGTCCTTGCTGAATCCAGAACTGAAGGACCAGGTTCCTAAATTCATCAGTAGCAAAGTTGTTTCTGGTCCCTTAACTCCAGTCGACTTGGAACAGAAGCGGGACCTACCTTCATCATTTCTCTTCGACGATAACGTGAACCTGAAGTGGCTCACCTGGAATGGCTTTCTGCCAAATGGTGCTGTTTCCATCTATAATGGCTACACCAAGAGAACCGACTACGTCTGCAAGTACCAGTGTGAGGCCGGCTTCTACAACCCTAGCCTCGGCCCGTACTGCCGATACCCTTATGGAGATCGCGAGTACTATGCCTCTAGGTTTGAGATACTAACCAACAAAG